CAACTTCACAAATAACACACGATGGTCTTGAAGTATAGATTCTGGGTACTGACGTTGTTTATCATCCTAATAATGTGTTATAGTATTCTTGTAATTGTCTTTTTGAATATTACTTTTACTGTTTAGTCTATTTTTGGTGATATCCATTTGACGTGGCTCGGTACTTATACATCCCGTCATTGTGTTATTGTGCTATGGTAAATTTTTGTATTCTTGTCTTTCATTTTTGTTTGTGTGCTTTGTCTGTATGCCTTTTTGTGTTTCTTTGTTACATATTTGTTTGTTATTTTAGTGATTAAGATTATAACACAATGTTGACTGTTGTACCCCTATTTTGACATTTTTACCTATTACATTTATGTCTGATTGTTTTGTTCACACATCGTTGTCAATATAATGGAATTGTATGCGACTGTCATACAAGTGAGAGGTTTAGCTAGCTATAAAACCAGGTTTAATCCACCATTTTCTACATAAGAAGATGACTGTACCAATTCAGGAATATGACAGTTGTTATCCATTCGTTTGATGTGAGCTTTTGATTTTGTCATTTGATTAGGGACTTTCCGTTTTGAATTTTCCTCGGAGTTCGGTATTTTTGTGATTTTACTTTTTATGCATACACAATGGCATGAGAAATATCAATTATGCAATCATCCAAGCGTCAAATGTAAGGCAATTGTTTGTGCGAGATGAAAACGTTACCACTCACTTGACGTGATCGTGAAATGAAGATTGTTTTGTGAACGCTCTTTCTTATCTAAGATGCATCCATTAGAGCTTTTTTCCTAATGCTTGTAGTTTAAAGGTTTGGTTGGCTTGCTTGCTTTATTTGTATAAATGTTTGCTCAATCTTAATTACAATGCTTAAGTAAACATTCATACAAACAAAGCAAGCAAGCCAACCACACCTTTAAACTACAAGCATTAGGAAAACAGCTCTAATGGCGTTTTATTAGTATATATGTGATGTAGATTTAGACCGAAACCGAAAACTTTGCTTTTCGGTGACGTGGATTGGCTTAACTGTCCAAGATATATGTATTCAATGATGGCGTGTCATAGGAAAGGATAAATTTTATGCTACATATAGATCTGGATGTGGACAAATTATTAGAGAAAATAGATTTCAACTTGACTATATTAGCAATAAATGTTATTTTTACGGAATTTATTGATGTACTACCTCAGACTTTCACTCACAAAGTATGCATAAATGTGACCCGCCATGACATTTCCCGGCTTATGGAGGTAGAACGTCATTGTTAGAAAAACGCCGTTAACTATAATTCATTGTATGGATATGCTAGTTTGCAATATTGTATATTAAACAAAACAAATAACGCACAACATCTTACAATATATTGAAGTTTCAATACTTCTTGTTTTTGCAACACATTTATAGAAATCTATTATATTTTAAGCATAACTTTGAAACTAATGTAGTGTTTACAGAGAAATTTTCATTATAGTCGCAACAATAGATAGAGATGACCAAAGTCGAATTCCAAAATCTGAGAACATTTTTTTTCAAATTGGTCAATTTAGACAAGAATTCGATTAAGATGGATAGATGGCTGATAGTCAGTCCAGTGGCAAATTAAATGTATAATCAGGACGGGAATATGAAAAAACAATGAGAATATTATCCTGCTTTGTACTAGACCGACACACTGAGACAGATTTTTTAACTTGCTAGCTCACAAGAAAACACATGTCACTCTAACCGGACACATTATTCTGACTCCAAGCCGACCAGTCATTGCTACATGTATTACTAAAAAATGTCGCGTGCTTAGAGGAGAAGCAGCAAATACAAATTTTCAAGCTATACAACGCTTTAGTTTTCACAAATTTGGCAACACTTTTTTTTTATTAAGAATGTGTTTTTTCTAGATGTCAAAATTTAAATTGAGGACATTCTCATTTGGTCCGAGTACAGTTATTTCGTAGTGCATTTCTTTTAGACAATAAATGAAAATTTAAAAAATCCCACTTGCGCTTTCTCAATAATATTTTTACAGTGTGTTGTACTACTTTTGGGACAAATTATATCAAAATTATAGAAAACTTCATCGGCTCTAACTCTAAATATGGACAATTTTATATCAAGGGGGTCTTGAAATCTTTTGACAGCTTCCGAAGTGCTTATTTTTACATGTAACCTTTTTCAGATGGACCAAATCACTACTTTACTTTAAAATTCATGACCAAAATTATAACGCAAACATTTATTTTATCTCATTTCTTATTTAAGATTCAAAGGATAGAAAAAGTTGACCAATCTTAATAAAACTTGGTATGACCAAAGTTTAATAAATTATGAGACTGCCTACAAAGTTTCATGGCAATAAAATATAAATTATAGACAATATGATAAATTCTATATTCAACTTTGCGTGTTAAATTTTTGAAGTTAAAATTGAAAAATTTCAACTATCAACATTTGGGGCTTTTAAAATTAAAATATTGCAAAAAAATAATTTTAAAATGCCTTAATATATAATATATCATGTATTTAAAGCAATAGAGTACTCATTTCATATATCAGACTTAGCATAATTATTCAAAAGTCAAATTTATATGAGCCTGTGCCTAAAAATGGAGGTTTTCCAATGAAGGGGGGCCTTACATGAATATGTAATATTTTCCAGCAATTTTGAATTTGTAAAGCTTCTTGGTTAAAAATAATCCTTACATATGTATTTAATGTACTTTGAATGGAAAGAAAACTTACAAATAACATATCATATTAGTTTAAAAGGGTCTTAGGCCAAGTAAGACTGAAAATAATTTAGGGTCAATTTAGGCCGTAGCACATATTTACATATAAAAATGCGTATTGAAGCTATAGGAAATAAAAATGTGTGTCTTTTCTATCATTTTTATACTCAGGTGACATGATACAATAAATCTGAGCACAAAAAGACTCTTGCATTCAACTTTTTTTGCAGACAGTATGGTCTGATACAAAGATTTTTCACTTTTTAGTGAAAAACTTGCAGGCAATTTTAGTCTCAACAGGCTTACATTTAACTTGATCCAAACAGGGCGTTAGACGAGGGTCATTTATACAACACATTTTGCACATAATGTCTGAGATAATCTTCTTTTCTGTAGATTCAGAGTTCACAAATGAGTAATACAACTGGATTAAAGCATAGAAATACAAATATTGACACATGAAAACCTGTCAAATAGAAAGTCAGAATGCCACTTATGCATCAAAATTGAAAAAGCTATGAAATGCTTATTTTGACCATATAATGGCAAAATTGGTCATTTTTGCAGAAATTCTATCAAATAAAAGTTTATATCCTTTAGTTTCATGCTATTTGACAAATTGACACCATCAAATCATTCAGGGAAGTTGCCAAAGTACAGATTCTATATTTCCTTATTTCACCTCTTAGGTCCAAGTACACAGCTATTTCGTAGTGCATTTCTTTTAGACAATAAATGAAAATTAAAAAAATCCCACCTGCGCTTTCTCAAAATATATTTTTACAGTGTGTTGTACTACTTTTGGGACAAATTATATCAAAATGAAAACTTCATCGGCTCTAACTCTAAATATGGACAATTTTATATTAAGGGGGTCTTGAAATCTTTTGACAGCTTCTGAAGTGCTTATTTTTAACCTTTTTCAGCTGGACCAAATCACTACTTTACTTTAAAATTCATGACCCTTTTTTTTTTACAGTGTAATTTCATCCCCCTACTTGCTATTTGAGGCATAAAACATGGAGAAATAAATTTGGAAGGGGTATAAAAAAAAATTGGCAAGTAACACACTGTCCATACTAGGGACTATACATTCTTACTAATTACAATTACTTTTTAAAAAGTCATATGTGATTATTAATTGTTACTCCAAAGAACTTATATATAAACAAGTCTAAATTGAAAACAACGTTCAAACCTATGATTGCGTTGGATAAAAACCGCAATTTTTATACGTGTGCATGCAAAACAAATTTCCTGGTAGAGGAGTCTACAGCACAAACAACATTTTCCAAAAGAACAAAAAAGTGAAAAAGTATATTTTAACAAAACGCATTTGACTAGCAGGTCGAACAACAGATGTTCTTAAACCCTGCTGACTGCCATGGTGATTGCCAAATAAACGGATCACCAGATGTAACAAAATGGATCTTAATTATTAATTTAATACCAAACAGAAAACATTAAACTTGAGGCAAAGATGGTATACCGCCAACATAAGGTACAAAAATTGGTACACCATATCCGGATTTCGACAATTATATATATATATACATAAAGTCATAAGAACCTAACATTTAGTAGAAGGATGCCAGGCGAAAACGACTTATGAGACACTATCATTAAAACAGTCTCTAATACATTCATAAAAAGACAACTTTTTTACATGTAAAAAGTATTTCGTAAATAAAACAAAAAATACATATATAATTTCTAGATTACAACATGTTTTCGTCGGTAAGACATAGAATATAGGGAACTAGTTAAAAGAGGCTACATATTCTCATTACACATACGAGTTTTTCAATATCGCATAAGAGAGCTACCACTTAATTTTTATAGGGGGGGGGGGGGGGGGGGCTAGGATGAAATAATTTGAAAAAATTTAAAGGCAGGACAGGAGTTTTGAGTAAAAAAAAAAGGCAGGACAGGAGTTTTGAGTAAAAAAAGGCAGGATGACAATTTATGTAAAAAAAGTCAGGACATAAACTAATAAAAATTTTGCTGGGATAAACTAATAAAGCAGGACCGAATAGAGTGAAAAATAAAAATGCAGGACAGAGATTACAACTAAAAAAAATGCAGGACAACATTTTTCATCCTAGATCCCCCCCCCCCCCCCCCCCCCTTAAATAATCAAAATCAACATACATATAGAAAATTAGGTAAATTTGAACTATTTATGCAATTATGGAAACTGACAATCAATATGTTTAAATAAATTTATTTCCCCTCGATTTTTTAAACTTCCCTTTTCAAATCAAAACATAACCTACCTTGATAAACATTTGCTAATGGAAAACTGTAGTTTTGGCATAGTAGCACAATATCTTTTTTGGATACGCTGAAAATAAAACAAATTGAAATTAGAAATTCATACCTCTTCATATATTTATTATAAGGTAGCTACAAAATTAATGTATCGATGACGGTGTATTGCATTTCCCTCTGTAAACACAAAAGTTCGATTAACAGCAGATAAATGTTTACGTTGTCTATTGTTTCCTTTCAACACCGGGAAGAAAGGAAAATCCAAAAAACAAACTTATACAGCATATGTGTTTGTTCATCTGTTAAATCTATGAGTAGCAATATTTTGTCTTTCAAATGTAACACATTTACTTATTAAGTGTAAACACACATTTGATTACGGTATTTCTTATTAGCATAGATGTATAAACCCATTAGGTAAATGCATTCTCATATACTACGAGATCTCGTGTGATCTTATAAAATACTGGTACATATATGTGCAAAGAGCTGAATAAGATTACTGTCAAATTGATAAAGGAACAAATATTTTGAAATAAGTTGTTGTTAACTGAGGGTGTGGATGGGGTTTACAGAATAGAGAAAAATGGACAAAAAAATAAAGAATAGAGATCAGTGAGGTTCTAAAATATAAAGAATAGAGAATAATGGGCAAAATGTATAAAAAAAGAGAAAAATGGCCTAAAAAATCAAGACAGAAATGAAGGACCCCCCACCCAGACCCTCTTAACTAGCAATCGCTAAAGAACTGTCTGACAAACCACATTGTAAATTTGTACAACATGCACCTTCCCTTTGCAACAACAGAAATTGAAAATTTTATCCCTGACTAATTTGCCATAAAAAGAACAATATTAACCAGTTCTAAATTTGCACACGTCCTTTTGTTGCCTGCATGTTTTATTTTTTGAATGTCAGTTTTTTTAAAAGGGCTTGTGATGTATGAAATAAATGAGAAGAAGAACAAACTTGCAAAATAAACAATAAAAGTGTTTAGTCTGCTTAACTGATGTTTGTATTTCAACAAGCTTAATATTTAATAAAAGTATTAACCATACCCATTAAGATGTTAATCCGAAGAGGACCGTAGTTCACTATATGTATAATTCAAATCATCATGCTATAAAGGTAAGCTTTTATTAATGTAGGAGGATGGTTGCAGAAATTTTACAAAATACACAAAGCACCAATCTAATAGTCTTTGCAACTACTGGAAGGCAGTTCAAAGCTAACTACAACTGATAAATAATAATGATTTTTCATATTTTGATATATACTAGTCAATAAAAGTAACGATACACAAGTTTGAACTCCAATTTATCATAAAATATAATAAATAGGAAAACTGTTAAATCATCCAACGAAAAACATTCATTTGCAAAGAAAATATATATGATTAAAAGAATCTGACCAAATTGGTAAGTTAGAAAATAACTTGTTATTGAACACATGGGTCAAATTTATTTTGCGGAAAATGCTAACAAAAGTCGGCATATAATTTCGAAGATGAGAATTAAGTATTCAAATATCTGCAAAGGCATTCAAAATTTTAAGCAGACATGTTTAAGTTTAAGGTTTTAAGTTCTAATATAGATTTTTGAATTTTTGGGTGAAAATACGATTTTTGAAATAACAAAAATTGCCAAAAAAAAAAAAATTCGCGTATTTGCCTGAAATCAATGGTTTTGATAAGAAAATAACACTCTGTAAATATTAGACTAATTAGACAATTATTTACCTTGGTACAGTGTATCCTTTTTCATTATATATGGAACATACATTGCCTTGTATCGTTTCTTTGGTTTACTAGTATATTTTAGCATTAGAGAATTTGTTTTGAAATCAGATCTTTGGTGTTGTTTATTACTTTTATTCAGAACTGTTTGGACTTGGGGTGATTCAAATATTTAACACTAATTCCAAATGATTTCAAATTATACCTATAAGAGGATCAAGGGCTACAAAAAGTACTGATTTCTGACAGACCAATGTCTTGTGAACGTTAATGAAGATTCAATGTATGATACAACATATGCCTCTTTCCATTAAAACCACTATTAACGGGGCAGGGTGATTATGAACCGTGGATATAAAAATGTAAATGTGCCTGAATGACAACCACCTAAATGCACAAATGTAAAAAAAAATAGAGGACCATCATATATAAACTACTATTATTGTAATATCGTATGAATTAGCATAAGATCAACAGACATATCAAAAATAAATATTAAAGGAACATTGGTTAAAAGATATAAAGGAAAAATCGGAGATGCTGCAAGCGTCTGTGGTTGAATGTGGGAAATGAATATAAAGTGTACTTCTTATATATATGTTGTAATGTCCCAGGTTTAGGGGAGGGTTTGGCACCGGCAAACATGTTTAACCCCGCCACATCCTGTATATGCCTGTCCCAAGTCGGGAGCCTATAATTCAGCGGTTGTCGTTTGTTGCAGTATATCATATTTATTTTTCGTTTATTGTTTTGAACATAAATCAGGCAGTTAGTTTCTGGTTTGAATTGTTTTACATTTGTCATAGCTTACTATGCGGTATGGGTTTTGTTCATTGTTGAAGGCCGTACGCTGACCTAAAGTTGTTAACTTCTACGTCATTTGGTCTCTGATGGAGACTTGTTTCATTGGCAATCATACTACATCTCCTTACTTTTTTTTATATTAAGTGTACATCAAAGTCACTTAATTATAGATAAATACCGTGATAATAGACCCATCTTTGCTTTCACCATCCAACCTCTATACATGTACAACATGTTTTGTAGATAAATACCAAATAATGTGTATTCAGATATTCAACTTTAATTTCAACTTAAATTAAAGAGATTTTAACATTAAAATATGATTATGCAATTTCAGTTTATTTAAACATGTCGCTGTATAATACTACACGAGGATGAAAGGATATGTACATACTGACCAGTAATGGTGGTATAAACGGTTTATAATAATTATATATAATGAGGAATGGACAAAAATGCGAGAATACTTATTGCGATTCTGAAAAAGATGCATAGAGATACACATGTCTCATATATCAGAATGCGAAGTTTAATTATTGCGATACTCACCAAATCGCATTAATCGCATTAATCATGAAAAACCTCACAATAATTTCCGAATTTACAGTATTTTAAGTATTCCAAAACGGAAAATTTCGGAAGCATTGCAAACGTCAATTTAGCACAGACATATTATTCAGTGATTTCTACTGAATTCTCCGAGAAGCGTTCTCCGAAAATCAATTTGATGGAAAGAAGGAGACAATGTCCTTGTAGGAAACCGATTATTCAAGTATCACTTTGGTATTCTATACTCGATTCTACTAAGCTGTACTCGAGTACACGTTGACATCCCTAGGTTTATTATGATATTACAAAATAGCACCACAATGATCCTATTTTGTAAATGTTTTAGGAGGTATTGCCAATTTATAGTAGCGAATACGAACACGAATACTTATATACATGTATATAGTATAAGTAAAACAGTAATTTTAAGATATATTACATCGAAAATAAATGAATGATTTACTATCCTCAATACAAGATGGAGTATAAAAATGGATAAAAAGAATATTAACCCTTTTTAATACATAGAACACGCAACACATCACTACTACGTGTATAACTGAGTGAAATTTTTCTCTTATTTCAAAACAAGTACTTATAAATCTTGACACTGATATATTAACATTTTCGGACCCACTGGACATCAACAAAATAAAATAGCAATGTGGATCAGCATTCAGGCCTATTGAAATCGTGAACTAAATTATCGATAATAAAAAAAATCAGGTTTTAGTCATCCATTTGCTGTTGTTAATAACAATAAACGTGCATGTATACAAAAGATCTATAGGTGTCATATATAATATTATGACATGATAGATGGATGAATACATTGTCTTTATTTCCATTATGCTGATTTTGTAATTAAATTGTTATCATTTTTGAAGTCTGCAGTTGCTGATGTAGATATTTTAAATACATTTAAGTACTAAAACTATATGTTGAACAGATTTGAAATAAAGATCACTTTGCATGCAACTTGTCTATTCGTTTTGCTGTATAATTGGTAAACACGATGAAAACAGCAACCAAACAAGCATATTGTTCATCAAAAATTGAAACATAAAAAGTAAAATAACAAAAATGCCGAAGGAAAATTCAAAACGGTAAGTCCTTATCAAATGGTAAATCACCTTAAGGTCTTAACCGAACACAAACGGTTTCGTTTATATTTACATATACATTTTTTCCACAAAAAAAACAAATGAGTTTGAAAAAAAGTACCGGAAATCCGTCACCAACAACCTATCATATTACCGATTCATCACACATGATCAAACTGTATCCCGTTCAGCCAAATCAAATCAAACCTTTTTCCTTCTGGTGACCAGGATTAATTACTTGTCAAGATATGTACGTTTTTATTCATGTTTGTCATTCACATCATATCAACGTAAGAAAGAGATATGTCTTCAATGATAACCTCCAGGGAAATTATGGTCACCTTTAACAATACAATTGTGTTACAAATTTTGTTTGACAAGGTTGATATTTAACCTAATTAATTATAATAGTCTTGCATCTAAATAAACAGATAAACAAATAAGATAGGGCCTTGTTTACGGGATAAAGCATTTTAACTTGTTTATTGTGATAATTAATGAGGGTTACAAGTTATATTTATCTGTTGATATTTCAATATTAACCGAACACCAACACCCACACTCGCCTGTATGCGATTGTGTATTTCTTTTATTTCTGAGTATTGGACATTTGATATAAAACTTGGGGACTTGGTATGATTGCCAACGAGACACCGATCCAAGAGTTCAAATGAAGCAGATTTAAACATATGTAGGTCTTCAACAATATGCAAATCCAATACGGTAGAGTCAGATATAAAAGGCATCGACAAAATGTGAACTAATTTATACGAGAGAAAAAACGGCATGATATATGACAGAACAATAAACGACAATCACGACATCCACTGAATTATATGCAGGCGCCGAACTTGGGACAGGCACACATGG